TAAGAGTCATAGTATTACTGTAAAAACCTACTTAAATTTACATCTAAGAAAGTTGGTCCGAGAGTTAAGGCAAGAGACGAAAGAAGTCTAGGCAAAGTACCCGCCAAGGCCAAGAAGAGCCGCTTAGGGGAACACGTTGGACCCTTGATCGTCCAGATTGTCATTATCTGCAACTACAGATGGCAAATTTAATTATGAATCTTACAGGTAATACAGTACCTCAAACTCAAACACTTAGAGTCAAAAATAAGGAAGAAATAGTCATCAATAATGTTGAAAAACATATTCAAAACTGGAATATTCCCAAAGTCCCAATAAAAGATATTTATAAAAAAGGAACATTTAATTTTAAACTTGGATATGCTATAAAAACAGTAGAAAAAAGTCTATCAGTAACTCAAAATCAAGAAGACTTTCAACTATTATCAAGAAAAGTAATTGAAAAACATAAGGAAAATAATTATAAATATTTACACATTGGATTAATTCAAATTGCTATAAAACCTTTGACCCGTCTAGAGTTGAACACCTCAGTGCTTGTATGCCTAAGAGATACAAGACACAATAAGTTTACAGATTCACTTATAGGTTTGGTTGAATCCAGCCTATGTAGTGGACCCATATATTTTAACTGTTTTCCCAATTTTTCTGTATCTTTAACTGACCCTAATATACTAGATATATTAAGAATAAATCTTAAGACCCATGGATTCCAAATGATACATGGCTCTCAAAATCTAGCTATAGTATATCGTATCTATTACCAAGTTATGAATACCCTTTGTCCCAATATCATGCAAACCGATAAGAAGGATCAAACCATATTATTCCAGACAAATATAGAAAAATCAAATACTATTATACCTAAGACTATTACTTGGTCAGATATTATTCTACCACAAATATGGGCACTTCAAAATGTGAATCAGCCCAAGAAAGTACCTGTCAATAATATCCCCAATCAAATAATAGAACATTAAGATGGAAATATTGAAATTAAATTTCAACAATCACAAACACAAGATGACATAGAAGTCCATAGAAAAAGGAATAAAAAACCAATGGATCCAGCAAGAAAATCTTGTCATACACCTCCAGATGTTATAATCCTTCCATCCCCACCAATACCTACAACATCTTCAGACTTACAACTACAATGAGTAAAAAGAACAGCTGATCATGTAGTAATACCCACATATACATCTACGTCTGAACCTGACCTAGCAGATTTTCAGATACTCACTTTACAAGTTGAAGAAGTTGAAGAAGATATAATCAGTAATGAATACCTACAAAAATACTTAGCTAATAAATTAGCAAAAAAGAAGAAAAAAGTAGATATCGACTATATCAAACAAGATTATCTAGCCCCAGAAAATCAAAATATTAGAGAATGGTATCTTAAAACATTCCAACCAAGATTAGTAGAATTATTCCATAAAAAATATAATATATTCTTGAAAAAAGAAAAAGAGACAAAAGGATTTTTTATATGGTTACAAGAAATGTGTACTCAATATAAAATTCCAATTCCTCAATTCAATACTATTTAAACAATAGAAGAGAAAACATATATCAGTACGGGTGGAACTACAACTGCTAGTACTCATCCTCCTGAAAAGAGTATAATACTCAAAGGTGCAATACCTCCTGTAAGTAAAAGAGAACCACCACAATCTCTATATGATATTATTGCAACACCTTATAAAGTTTTACCCAAAGAAATAGGGAAAAAAACAAGAATTAATGCCTCACATCGTAGAACAAAATAATTATACCAATCTATACATGCAAAACGCGCCGGGATCTACAGTGAAGTCTTATGGATATTTTTTAGAGTAAATATGTGAATATTAGATTATTATACTGTACTATTTCTTGGAGTATGCGATAGTAATTAAGACAGAATAAGAGCATGCATATGCAGGGAAAAATGGAAATATCTATCACAAACCACTGTGTGTGAGTGTGATCACCAATTTTGATACTAAAGATTAATTTGAATTGCATATTGACATTTTCTGAAGTACAAACTGTGTTTTATACAAACTGTATATGAATTACAAAATATATGAGAGTAAGATTACAGACTGACAACTGAATTACAAAACATAGGATAGTAAGTAAACTATAGAAAAGAGAGTAAGATTACAGACTGACAACTGAATTACAAAACATAGGATAGTAAGTAAACTGTAGAAAAGGAATTACAAAACATACGTATTTACAGGGTGCAAATACAATAACTGGAAAAAAGTTTCCAGTGTGGAGGACAGTGTGAGAGAAGTGATGACATATTACAATCACACATACTAGGAATATAAGCAAGAGGAAAAGATAGAACCTGGGTCTTAGTGATGTAAAAACGACCTGGGAATCATGAGCTGTTAAGGTCGGAACAACAACTTTTTGAGAGAGCTGGAACTCAGAGAGAATAAAAGTTGAGAAGAGAGAAGAGCTGAGAGAGGCTCCGAATGACCTTGTTCAAAGAGAGGCAGGAGAGTGCCTTTAATAGGCGAAGGGGAATGCCTTCGTTCTGAAAGAATGGTAAAAGAGGAAAATAAGGACAAGACGTGAAAAGACATAAAGAGGGATGATGAGACATAAAGGAAAAGACAAAAGTAAAAAAGGAAAAAGCATATTCTGTTGGTCGGGGATGAAGACAAAAAGGTATCTGGGAACAGTAATCTTTTTGTCGCCACATGTCGGCAACGTTTGTCTTTTTATTGTAGTGGGAACAGTGAC